TGGGTTTATATAAAAACGCATGGCGAATCGTAATTAGAAGCCCTTTTTTGTATAATTCTTGTTTTGGTGAAAAAAGGTAAAATAATTAGAGTTTATATAAAAACGCATGGCGAATCGTAATTAGAAGCCCTTTTTTGTATAATTCTTGTTTTGGTGAAAAAAAGGTAAAATAATTAGAGTTTATATAAAAACGCATGGCGAATCGTAATTAGAAGCCCTTTTTTGTATAATTCTTGTTTTGGTGAAAAAAAAGGTAAAATAATTAGAGTTTATATAAAAACGCATGGCGAATCGTAATTAGAAGCCCTTTTTTGTATAATTCTTGTTTTGGTGAAAAAAAAGTAAAAGATGTGTAATATGCAAAAATATTGGGTCAGTTTTAATTGAAGTATTTTTTTGTATTGTCTTTTTTTGGGTCGGATTTTTGTAGATTGGGATTTTTTCGGAGTCTCATTATATGAGATTTTGGGGGAAATAGGAAACATGTCTAACAAGCATTAAGAGATTGTACTCAGGAGGGAATATGGGGAGAATACATAGTGCTCAACCTGGACTAGAAGCCTAACTGTGTGTGTGCATATATGGTAGTCAGGTGAAAGGGAGAGAGAAAAAAGGGATACCAGTGGTTGACTAGCATAGGTGATCAGAACATGCGGCAAAATGTACCATATAAAGGGTGCGACCAAAGGTCTTGGAAAAAGCTAGTATGGAGGGGTGGTTCCGGACCGTCGAGATGATCTTGAGAGTGTAACCAGCGGCCTTGGAAAGAGCAAGAGAAGAGGGGTAGCACTTATGGACGTGAGAAGTCGAATGGTTAGCATGTATGAAAGGATAGAGGATTTCACGGGAAGTGTTAAGTTAAGAGAGACGACTAGATCAAGGATAGTCATGTGTATTAAGAAGTACTATAATCCGTGCAGCATTGAACGACCAAAGAAATGTGGAACTAATTTTATGTACGAAGGCAATTTTAGGCTAAAATATTTTATTAGGAATTCCCGCTTATTATTCATGGGGCAAGCCATTAATGTAAGATTATACATAGGGTAGAAAAAATATGGATTTTTCTAACAAATGTACATATCCTGTATTCCATATGAAATAGTGGGGGGGGTAGGGGGGGGGGGCCGAGGTAGGATTATTTTTATTTTTATTTGAGGTTGAGTTTGTGTCTGAGGAAGCAAAGAGTAGTTTAATTAAAATTCTGGTTTTGGGGGCCAGGGATGAAGTTTCTTTCTCTTTGATGCTCTAAGGGATGGGGTATCCCGGCTTTGGTTTACAAGAACAATGCTTTGTGTTAAGCTATTAGAGCAGGGGGTGTTTGTTATTTTGTTTTCGATTCAGCCTAGGAGAGGTATAGAGATGAAGAAGGTAAAGTATAGTGTTGCTGTTACTTGGCTAATGATGATGTATGGAGGTTCTACTGGTTTTGTGGCGGCTCATGTGATAGTGATGAATGTTGATACTAGTGTTCAGAACATTAGTTGTGATAGTGGGCGGAAAGTTATTGGGCGGAAGTAGGCTGTATGTGTGAATGGGGTAATAAATAGGATTATGATTGATATTACTAGGGCCAATGCGCCACCTAGTTTATTTGGAATGGATCGCAGGATTCCGTAGGCGAATAGGAAGTATCATTCTGGTTTAATGTGTTGAGGTGTAACTAGTGGATTGGCTTTTGAAAAGTTGTCTGGGTCGTTGAAGATGTCAGGGAAGAATGAGACGATGATGAGTATAGATAGGATTATCAGGGTTAGGAAGAGTAGGTCTTTGTATGAGTGGTATGGGTGGAATGGGATTTTGTCGATGTCTGGGTTTGTTCCAAGTGGGTTGCTGGACCCTTCTTCGTGGAGTAGGATGATATGTAGTGATGATATAGAGATGATTGCGAATGGTAGGATGAAATGTAGTGCAAAAAATCGTGTGAGGGTGGGGTCATTGATTGCGAATCCTCCTCATAATCAGGTTGTTAAGGTTGTGCCTAAGTATGGTACGGCAGTTAATAGGTTGGTAATTACGGTTGCAGCTCAGAATGATATTTGTCCTCATGGGAGGACATATCCGAAGAAGGCGGTTGCTATGAGTGTGATGAGTAGTGTAATTCCGGATATTCAGGTTTCTTTATTTAGATAGGAGCCATAGTATAGTCCTCGTGCGATGTGAATGTAGATGCAAATAAAGAATATGGATGCGCCGATGGCGTGTAGGTTTTGTATTATTCAGCCGTATGGAACATCGCGGGTGATGTGAATGATAGATGAGAATGCTAGGTTGATGTTTGCTGTGTAGTGGATGGCTAGGAAGAATCCGGTTAATACTTGTATGGTTAAGCATGCTAATAGTATTGAGCCGAAGTTTCATCATGTTGAGATGTTGGTTGCTACTGGTAGGAGGCCAAATAAGGTTAGAATATAGTGGTGGGGCATGTTTTTGTAGTTGATTGACAACGGTGGTTTTTCAGGCCGCAGGTCTCGATGAGTCGGGCAAAAATTATGTTTGTTATAGATTATGTTTTTTGTTTGGTTGTTACGTGTATGGTGGTAGGGGCTATTGTATTGAGTACTACTCCTGTTTCTTATTATGGAGTAATTGCTTTAATAGGTCTTGTATTTTTTTGTTGTATGGTGATGGTTGGCATAGGTCGGACATTTATTGCTTTGGTAACTTTTATTGTGTACTTGGGGGGTTTGGTGGTGGTGTTTAGTTATTGTATTAGTGTTGAGAAGGATGTTGAGGATGCTTTGAAGGTTCTTACTTTTAAAGTTTTTGTACTTTTGTTTGTTTGTGTTGGAATTGTTGCTTGTTTATGTATTATGTTTACTTTTGGATCGGGGGAGTGATTGGTTATGCCAAGTCAGGATTGTTTTGTTTGTGTAGAGGTTAATGGGTTTGGGGTGCTTTATTCTTGTGGCGCTGTTGGACTAGTAGTTTGTTCGTGGGGTTTGCTTGTGACGTTGTTTTCTATTTTAATTGTTCTTAGTTGGCATCGGTGAGGGGGTTTACGGCCTTTTAGATGTAATTAAGTATTAGTGTGATGATAATTGTTATGGTAAAAGTGGTTATATAGTTTTTAATCAGGTTTTTTTGTTGAGTTGTTATATGGATTAATGGGATTGAGGTGTTTGATAGGCCTTTTGGTCCGTAGTTTTCTAAGGTCCATAGATCAATTAGTTCTGTTGAGGCTTGTTGGCTGAATTTAAGTGTTTTTATTGGGATTGTCCGGTGGAGTAGATTGAAGAATGCCAATTGATTAAAGAATAGGTTTAATGTTTTTGGTTTTTGTGGGGGTTGTTTGGTAGTTAAGAATAGTAAGTCTGTTGATAGTATGATTCCTGTTAGGGTAATAATTAGTGCTGTTAGTTTGATAGTTTTTGGTATAGTGTGCATTGTGGTTGTCTGTAGGGTTGAGAGTTTAGTGATTGTGCCTACGAAGATTGATCCGAGGGTAAGCCGTAGGATGGGTTTGGTTGGGGCTTTTGTCTCTTGATGGGGGTTTTGTTTGGTACGGGGGTATCCTGCTAGTGTGAGGTGAATAATACGTATGCTGTATGTGGCGGAGAATATGGTTGCGATTAGCGTCATGATTAAGGCTCATGAGTTAGTGTGGGAGTTTATGATGGTTTCAATGATGGTGTCTTTTGAATAGAACCCTGAAAGGAAGGGTATACCTATTAGTGTTAGACTGGCAATTGTAATGGTGGATGAGGTTATTGGTATAGTCTTATTAAGATTCCCTATTTTTCGGATGTCTTGTTCGTTTTCTAAATTGTGAATGAAGGATCCTGAGCATAAGAATAGAAGTGCTTTGAAAAAGGAGTGGGTGGCTATGTGTAGAAAGGCTAGTGTTGGTTGGTTTAGTCCAATTATTGTCATTATTAAGCCTAATTGGCTGGTTGTTGATAATGCGATGATCTTTTTGATATCATGTTGGGTTGTTGCTGCAGCGGCTGCGAATATGGTTGTTGTTGCCCCTAGGATCAGACAGATGGTTAGTGCGAGTTCATTATTCTGTATGATTGGGTGTAGGCGGATTAATAGGAAAATACCTGCTACAACTATTGTGCTTGAGTGGAGTGGAGCGGATACTGGTGTTGGACCTTCTATGGCGGCTGGAAGTCATGGGTGGAGGCCGAATTGGGCGGATTTTCCAGTGGCTGCAGCGATTAGGCCTATAAGTGGGATAATGCTGATGGTTTCGTGTTGTGTGAAGAGTTCTTGTATGTTTATGGAGGATAGTAGTAAAAGTCATGCTGTGGTTATGATAAGGCCAATGTCGCCGATTCGATTGTAGATAATAGCCTGTAGGGCTGCGGTGTTTGCGTCTGATCGGGCATATCATCATCCGATTAGCAGGAATGATATGATGCCGACTCCTTCTCAGCCGATGAATAGTTGATATATGTTGTTTGCTGTGATGATGGTTAGTATTGCGATTAGGAAGATGAAAAGGTATTTGATGAATTTGTTGATGTAGGGGTCTGTTGATATGTATCATACTGAGAATTCGATGATAGACCATGTAACGAATAAGGCGATAGGGATGAAGGTTAGCGAGGGTGTGTCTAGGATAAAGCTAATGTTAATATTCATTGTGGTTGTGTTAATGATGGGTGATGTGGATAATGTAGTTTCATTCTCGTTGTTTAGTAGAAGAGTTAGTGGGACAAGACTTATGATAAATGTGGTTATTAGACTATTTTTTGTGTAATTTAAATTGGGGTTGGTGAATAGTTTGCTAATAGTTAGTGTTAAGGATAAAAATACGGCTAGGGTCATTGTTGGGGTAATAGTATTCATGTTCTACTACTTGGAGTTGCGCCAAGTGTTCTGGTGCCTAAGACCAATGGAAGACTGTTATCCTTTAGTAGAAAGAAGGCTGGTGTGTTAGTACCAGGTGAAAGATTTAGCAGGTCTTGTTACCTTCTCGGTGTGCGAGAGGGGTAGTCTCTGTTTTCAGGGTCACAGCTTGATATTTTTTTTAAATTACACACACTCTTAGTACGAGTTCTGGTTTAATTGAGATTAAAATGAGTGGGAGGATGTGCAGGGTTATGAGTAGGTGTTCTCGAGTGTGGGTGGGTTGAGTTGGGGTGTTTATTAGTGGTTTATTTGCTTGGGTGGATAGATATATGTGAAGGGAGTAGGTTGCGGTGATCAGTATAGATAGGCCGAGGAGGGCTATGGTTGGGGGGCATCAGTTGAATATGGCTGAAATAATAAGGAGTTCACCGGTAAAGTTCATGCTGGGTGGAGTGGCGATGTTTATAAGGTTTGCGATTAGTCATCAGGTTGTTATTATTGGGAGAATATTGTGGAAGCCTCGGGTGAGTAATAGAATTCGGGTGTGTGTGCGTTCGTATGTGATGTTAGCTAGGCAGAATAGTATTGATGATGTGAAACCGTGGGCGATTATTAGGGCTATGGCTCCTGCTAAACCTCATGGGGTTTGTGTTATAAGTGCTGCAATGACTAAGCCTATATGGCTTACTGATGAGTAAGCGATTAGAGATTTTAGATCCGTTTGTTGAAGGCAGGTGAGGTTAGCTAGGATTGCTCCTCATAGGGAAATTACAATAAATGGTATGAATATGTCTGTTTTTGTTGTGGGAAGAATTTGTATTATTCGGATGATGCCATACCCTCCCAGTTTTAGTAGAATTGCTGCGAGTACTATTGATCCGGCAATTGGTGCTTCTACGTGGGCTTTTGGAAGTCATAAGTGGAGGCCATAAAGTGGTATTTTTGCTATGAAGGCGGCTAGGCAGGCTAATCATAGAATGAGGTTTGTTCAGTGGTTATTTGTTTTGGTTGCTAGGAATAATAGTGTTGGAGTGTTGGATGTATTATTTAGGAATAGAATAGCTATTAGTAGAGGTATTGAAGTTGTTAGGGTGTATATTATAAAGTGGGTTCCCGCTGTTAACCGTTCTGCTTGTTGCCCTCATCGTGTAATGATGATGAGGGTGGGGATTAAAGTGGCTTCAAATATGATGTATATGAGGGTTAGGTTTGAGGCGGTGAAGGTGAGTGAGATTGTGGTTTGTAGGATTATGATAGTTGCTATGAATGTTCGTTGTCGTTGAACAGGTTCTGGTGTTATTGCATGTTGGCTGGCAATAATTATTAGTGGGAGGAGTCAGAAGGATAGGGTCAGTAGTGGGGCTGAAATTTGGTCGAGGTTTAGGTATAGGTTGGATAAGGGTTTGAGGTATAGGTCTTGTTTTAGAAGGCTTAGGCTAAGGAAGGCGAGGATAAAAGTGTAGGAAATTATTGTTTGATATAGGATTTTGGGCTTTAGGATTAGGGCTGTTGGGATTAGTATGGTGGTTGCAATAATAATTTTTAGCATTATAGTAGATTTAGGTTTTTTAGGAAGTCGCTTCCGTGTGTTCGGGTGGTTGCGACTACAAGGCTGAGTCCTAAGGAGGCTCCGCAGACTGAGATTGTTAGTAGGATGATGGGTATTGGGGTGTGGGATACGGCTAGTGAGGTTGCGGTGTAAGTTACTAGTATAGTAAATAGGGTCAATATTATTGCTTCAATACATATAAGGGCTAGTATTAGGTGTTTGTGTTGTGTTGATAGACCTAATATAATAATGAAGAATGTTGTTGTTAGTGTGATTTTGATGGGTTCCATTGCAGGGACTTATTTGTGTAAGGTCTTTTGAGTCGAAATCAAATGTCTGGTGTAGACTACCCCTGAATTCTGTTCATTCCAGTCCACCTTGATGTCATTCGTATATAAGTCCTAGTGCTAGTAGGGTTAATAGGATTATAGTAAGAGTGACTGAGGTCAGGGGTGGGTTAGTGTTTATGCTTCAAGGGATTGGGAGGAGGAGGACAATTTCTAGGTCGAATAGAATAAATAGGATGGCTACTAGGAAGAACTGGATTGAAATTGGGGATCGTGCGTCACCTAGTGGATCAAATCCGCATTCGTATGGTGAGAGTTTGTTGATATCTGGTTTGGTAACTATAAGTGTGTTGATGGTATAGATAATAATAACTACGGTTATTGATAGGGTTAATAGTATAATTAAGCTTATTATTTCTTTCCCTGGTGGGATCTAAGTGCTTGGAAGGCAATTGTACTGTATTATACTAAAGAAATATGATCCTCATCAGTAGACTGAGACAAATAGGAATAATCAAACTACGTCGACGAAGTGTCAGTATCAAATTGCTGCTTCGTATCCGAAGTGGTGTGAAGTTGTAAAGTGGAAGTTGACAAGGCGTGCCAGACATACGATTAGGAATGTGGTTCCGATTATTACGTGAAATCCATGAAAACCTGTGGCTACGAAGAATAGGGAGCCGTAGACGCTGTCTGAGATTGTAAATGGGGTCTCTATATATTCTGAGAGTTGAAGGGCCGTGAAGTAAATGCCTAGTGCGATGGTGATTATGAGAGCGTATGTTGCTTCTTTTTTATTGCCTTGTATTAATGCGTGGTGTGATCATGTAACTGTGGCGCCGGATGATAATAGGACTGCTGTGTTGAGTAGTGGAACTTCTAGTGGGTTAAGTGGGACAATTCCGGTTGGAGGTCATTCGGCTCCTAGTTCTGGTGTAGGGACTAGGCTAACATGATATAGGGTTCAGAAAAAACCTAGGAAAAAGAAGACTTCGGATACAATGAACAGTATTATTCCATAACGTATGTTTTTTTGTACCCCTTTTGTGTGGTGGCCTTGGAAGGTGCCTTCTCGTACAACATCGCGTCACCATTGGATGAGTGTTAAGGTGAGGGTGAGGAGGCCTAGTTTTAGGATGGTAGTTGTGTTTGTGTGAAATCATAGAGCTAGTCCTGAGGCTGTAAGTAGGGAGCCCAAGGCCCCTGTCAGGGGTCAAGGGCTGGGGTCAACTATGTGATATTGGTGGAGTTGGTGGGTCATTATGGTTATGTGTTTTCTTGTAGGTATAGGGTGACTAGGAGTACGAAAACATAGGCCTGAATGCAGGCTACGGCTATTTCTAGGAGTGTGAGTAGGAATAATAGAATTATTATTAGGATTGATAGTGTGTTGTAGGTATTGAAGAAGTTTAGGGCGGCTGAGCTGATTATTGTTATAAGTAAGTGACCGGCTGTGATGTTGGCTGTCAGTCGTACGCCTAGTGCGATTGGTCGTATGAATAGGCTAATTGTTTCAATTAGGATTATAAATGGGATTAGAGGGGTTGGTGAGCCTTCTGGTAGTATATGGGCTAGTGTTGAAGAGGTTTTGGTTGTCAAACCTGTAATTACGGTTGCTAGTCATATTGGAATAGCCAGGGCTATGTTTATTGATAGTTGGGAGGTGGAGGTGAATGTGTATGGTAGTAGGCCTAGTAGGTTTGATAGCAGAATAAAAATGAGTAGGCTAATTAGGAAGCGAGATCATTTTTGTCCTGTTGGGGATAGTTGATGTATTATGTTTAGTAGGATGGTTTTAAAGAATCAGTTTATGATAGTAGATAATCGGTTGCCTAAGAGTGTAGTGCTGGGTCGAATAAAAAGAATAGGTAAAATTATAGAAATTAGGCTGGTTGGGATGAATAGGATTTCTGGGCTTGCGAATTGTTCGAATATGTTTATGTTCATGGTAAGATTCAGATTAATTCTGTTTTGAGGTCGTCTAGGGAGACGGCTTCTTCAAAGTCTTTATTGAGGAGAGCGGTTTGGATTTTTCATACTAATGATAATAGAATAGTTCAGGTTCAGATGTAGTTTGTGAAGATATATACAATATCCAGCTGCGGCATTCATCAAGGAAATTTTGTTTCTTCTTTAGCTTAAAAGGCTAATGCTATAAAAGCTTCTTAATGTATTGTTCTGTGGTTAGCCATTGTTCAAAGTAGTTTAGTGGTACGGCTTCTACTACGATAGGCATGAAGCTGTGGTTTGCGCCACAAATTTCTGAACATTGGCCGAAGAATACGCCTGTTCGGGAAGTGGCTAATGGGAGTTGGTTGAGTCGTCCTGGTACAGCGTCTACTTTAATTCCTAAGGATGGGATGGCTCAAGAATGTAGGACATCTTCTGCAGTAACTACAATACGGGTTTGTAAGTTGGCTGGTATCACCATTCGGTGGTCTACTTCTAGTAGGCGAGGGGCGCTGTTTGGTAGGTCTTGTGTCTGAATCATGTAAGAGTCGAATGAGACATTAGTTCCATCTGTATACTCGTAGTTTCAGTATCATTGATGTCCTGTTGCTTTGATTGTTACATATGGGTCAAATACTTCTTCTATTAGGTAGAGTGATCGGACAGATGGAAGGGCGGTAAGGATCAAGATTATAATTGGGGCGGCGGTTCAGGCCGCTTCTAGTTGTTCTACTTCTTCTGTTGGATCATTGTGTGTTACGGTAGCTGTGATGGCTGTTGTGGCGAAGAGTAGGATGACTAGGGATATTAGGAAGGTGAGGAGGAGAACGTGGTCATGTAGAAATACGACTTCTTCCATTGCGGGACCTGTGGCTTCTTGTAGTGATAGTTGGGTTGCGTAAGGCACTGAGAGCCACAGGTGTCTGTTATTTAGCTATGACAAAGCTATGTAATGTATTTACTAGGTTCTCGAGAGGAAAGCATAAAGAACTATGCGGCTGACTTGAAATTAGCAGATGGCAGTTAAAGTCTGTCTCTTCTCGGGTCAGGGTCACTCCATGTATGTGATATATTCGCGGATTGGGGCGTACATATTGTTTAGTATAAATGTTGGTTCTGTGTGGGTGTGGTGTGGTGGTGGTGTTCCGTAGAATCATTCTACATGGGTTTTTTTTCCTAATGGGATTGGTAGGGTTCGTTTGTGTGTTATGGCTTCTCAAACAATGTATAGTGATATGAGAACTGCTACTAGTGAGATGGTTGAACCGATTGATGAGATTGTGTTTCATAGGGTGAAGGCGTCTGGGAAGTCCGAGTATCGACGAGGTATTCCTGAGAGTCCTAAAAAGTGTTGTGGGAAGAATGTTATGTTGACGCCTAGGAATATTACTCAGAATTGAGTTTTTGTTAGAGTTTGGTTGAGGGAGTATCCGGTGAATAGTGGAAATCAGTGTGTTACGCCTCCTATGATGGCGAATACTGCCCCCATTGATAGGACATAATGAAAGTGTGCCACTACGTAGTATGTGTCGTGTAGAACAATATCTAGGGATGAGTTTGCTAGAATAATGCCGGTTATTCCGCCCACAGTGAACAGGAAGATAAATCCGAGAGCTCAATAGATTGGCGTCTGTCATTTGATTTGTCCGCCGGTTAGTGTGGCTAGTCAGCCGAAGACTTTAATTCCAGTTGGAACTGCGATAATTATTGTGGCTGCTGTAAAGTAGGCTCGACTGTCAATGTCAAGACCAACGGTAAATATGTGGTGTGCTCATACTACAAACCCAAGGATGGCGATAGATATTATAGCTCAGATTATGCTAGTGTATCCGAAAGTGTTTTTTTTTCCGGTGTAATAGGTGATAATGCTGGAGATAATGCCGAAGCCTGGCAGAATTAGAATGTAAACTTCTGGGTGTCCGAAAAATCAGAACAGATGTTGGAATAATACTGGGTCCCCTCCTCCGCAAGGATCAAAAAAAGATGTGTTTAGATTATGGTCTGTTAGTAATATTGTAATTGCTGCTGCCAGAACTGGTAGGGCTAGGAGGAGTATGATTGCTGTAATTAGTACGGATCAAACAAATAAAGGGATGTTGAATATAGGTATTGACGCCGGTTTTATGTTGATGCATGTGGTGATAAAGTTAATTGCTCCTAGAATTGAAGAGGCGCCAGCTAAGTGTAGTGAGAAAATTGCTAGATCTACTGATGGGCCTGAGTGGACCATATTGCCTGATAGTGGGGGGTAAACTGTTCAACCGGTGCCGGCGCCTGCCTCTACGTATGAGGAAGATAGGAGGAGAAGTAGTGCTGGTGGTAAAAGTCAAAAGCTTATATTATTTATTCGCGGGAATGCTATGTCTGGTGCTCCGATTATTAATGGGATTAATCAGTTTCCGAAACCTCCGATCATAATGGGTATAACTATAAAAAAAATTATTACGAATGCGTGGGCTGTTACAAGCACATTAAAGATTTGGTCGCTGCCGAATAAAGAGCCTGGTTGTGTTAGTTCTATTCGTATTAATACGCTTAAACAGGCGCCTACAAGTCCGGATCATGCACCAAATAGTAGGTATAATGTGCCGATATCTTTGTGGTTTGTTGAGAAGAGTCAACGGGTAATGTACACAGGTAGTATGGCTGAATTTAAGCGGTAGGCTGTAAATCTACTCATAAGGGGCGCACCCTTTGCTGCCAGCCTCGAAGTAAATGTCAGGCTGCAAACCTGAAAAAGACCAGTTGGTCCGGGGCTTCTCCGTTTTTTTCTTTTGTTAAAAACGGAGAAGTAGATTGAAGTCCGTTGGTTTGGATGGCTAGTTGTTAACTAGTGTTTTGTGGGATCGAGGCCCGCCAGTCTAGAGAGCTTTAGTTTAGGTAAAATGTCTGTGTTGCAAGCAGAAGATGTGATTGTTCGCAAGTTCTCAGAAACTAAAGTGTGTCTTTTTTGGGGGCTTTGAAGGCTCCTAGTTTAGTATAACTTAAGTTTCTTTAAAGTGATGGTGTTATTGGGAGTATTAGTATCGATATAATTATTAGTGTGGATGCTATTAGGGGTTTCGTTTTTGGGTTTGTTCGTCATTTTATTGTTATTGTGTTGGTGTGTGGTGTGAGTGTTATGGATGAGATGTATGTTAGTCGTAGGTAGAAGTATAGGCTTAGTAGTGATATGATTGCCATTAGGGTTGCTTCTATTGTGAGGTTGAAGAATATTATTTTATTTAGGATAAGTCATTTTGGTATAAATCCTGTTAGTGGAGGTAAGCCTCCTAGGGATAGGATAGATAGTGTTAGGGCTGATGTTAATTGTGGTGTGGTTGTTCATATTGTACCTAAGTCTTTAATTGTAGAGGAGGATGTTGAGTGAAGTATAATAAAGATTGGGATAGTGGTGAGGATGTAAATGCTTAGTGTTAGTGTGGAGATGTTGGGGGCGATGGTGAGGGTGGATAAGACCCAGCCCGTGTGGGCGATGGAGGAGAAGGCTAATAGTTTTCGGAGTTGGGTTTGATTTAGTCCTCCTAGGCCCCCAAGAGTGATGGAGAGGATTGCTGTGGTTAGTAGAATAGTTTGGTTTGTTTTGTCTGAGATCATGATTAGGAGTGATATGGGTGCTAGTTTTTGTCAAGTTAGGATTGTTAGGCCTGTTAGTGTTGTTGTACCTTGGGTTACTTCTGGGAGTCAGAAGTGGAATGGGGCGGCTGCTATTTTTATTATTAAGGCTAGGGTTATAATGGTTGTTGAGGTTTGGTCTAATATTAGTGTGATTTCTCAGTGGGATGTGTTTAGGGCGTTTATTGTTGCTGCGAGTAGTATGGCTATAGAGGCCAAGGTCTGGGTTAGAAAGTATTTTGTTGCCGCTTCTGTGGCTCGTGGGTGGTGTGGTTTGGAAATTATTGGGGTTATTGAGAGTGTATTAATTTCTAGGCAGGCTCAGGCTATAAGTCAGTGTGTTGATGTGGTTACGAGGATTGTGCTTAGGGTGATGCTGAGGGAGATTATTAGTCAAGTTATGAGGTTTATTAGTAAAGGCCGGGGGGCATTTTTGGGGTATGGGCCCAATAGCTTGTTTAGCTGACTTTACTGTTTAGGAGGTAGTATATAAGGAAGTACCGAAAGTTTTGGGCTTTCTAGTTCAAGTTCGAGTCTTGACCTTCTAGTATTAAGGAGATGATTTGAACATCTGTATCAAGGTTTTAAGCCTCTTGCATGGCCTGGCTTTGCTACCTTAATTTGGGTTTATATAAAAACGCATGGCGAATCGTAATTAGAAGCCCTTTTTTGTATAATTCTTGTTTTGGTGAAAAAAGGTAAAATAATTAGAGTTTATATAAAAACGCATGGCGAATCGTAATTAGAAGCCCTTTTTTGTATAATTCTTGTTTTGGTGAAAAAAAGGTAAAATAATTAGAGTTTATATAAAAACGCATGGCGAATCGTAATTAGAAGCCCTTTTTTGTATAATTCTTGTTTTGGTGAAAAAAGGTAAAATAATTAGAGTTTATATAAAAACGCATGGCGAATCGTAATTAGAAGCCCTTTTTTGTATAATTCTTGTTTTGGTGAAAAAAAAGTAAAAAATGTGTAATATGCAAAAATATTGGGTCAGTTTTAATTGAAGTATTTTTTTGTATTGTCTTTTTTTGGGTCGGATTTTTGTAGATTGGGATTTATTCGGAGTCTCATTATATGAGATTTTGGGGGAAATAGGAAACATGTCTAACAAGCATTAAGAGATTGTACTCAGGAGGGAATATGGGGAGAATACATAGTGCTCAACCTGGACTAGAAGCCTAACTGTGTGTGTGCATATATGGTAGTCAGGTGAAAGGGAGAGAGAAAAAAGGGATACCAGTGGTTGACTAGCATAGGTGATCAGAACATGCGGCAAAATGTACCATATAAAGGGTGCGACCAAAGGTCTTGGAAAAAGCTAGTATGGAGGGGTGGTTCCGGACCGTCGAGATGATCTTGAGAGTGTAACCAGCGGCCTTGGAAAGAGCAAGAGAAGAGGGGTAGCACTTATGGACGTGAGAAGTCGAATGGTTAGCATGTATGAAAGGATAGAGGATTTCACGGGAAGTGTTAAGTTAAGAGAGACGACTAGATCAAGGATAGTCATGTGTATTAAGAAGTACTATAATCCGTGCAGCATTGAACGACCAAAGAAATGTGGAGCTAATTTTATGTACGAAGGCAATTTTAGGCTAAAATATTTTATTAGGAATTCCCGCTTATTATTCATGGGGCAAGCCATTAATGTAAGATTATACATAGGGTAGAAAAAATATGGATTTTTCTAACAAATGTATATATCCTGTATTCCATATGAAATAGTGGGGGGGGGTAGGGGGGGGGCCGAGGTAGGATTATTTTTATTTTTATTTGAGGTTGAGTTTGTGTCTGAGGAAGCAAGGATCGGCGGTCCTGTGTCTACTCTATCAAGGTAGTCCCTGTTCTCGGGCATACTTCCATTGTGGTGGGGTGCCGTGGAAGGCTGTTGTGGTTGAGATGTTTAATATGCATATGGCTAGGGTTAGTGGTAAATATTGTTTTCATAGTAGGTGTATTAGTTGGTCATAGCGGAATCGTGGGTAGGATGCTCGGATTCATAGGAAGAGGGTTGTTAGAAGGATGGCTTTTGTTATAAGGTTTATTGTGAATAACGATGGTGAGTTTTGAATTCCTGGGTTTAGGAATATTATGGTGGAGAGGGTGTTTATTATAAGAATATTTGTGTATTCTGCTAGGAAGAGGAGGGCAAATGGGCCAGCTGAAAATTCTACGTTGAATCCTGAGACTAGTTCGGATTCTCCTTCTGTTAGGTCGAATGGTGATCGGTTAGTTTCTGCTAGGGTGGATGTGAACCATATTATGGCCAATGGTCATGATGGAAGTAGAAGTCATATGGGTTCTTGTGTTGTTGTGAATGATTGTAGTGAGTAGCCGCCTGTGATTGTGGCTATAGATATGATGATCAGGCCTAGTGTGACTTCGTATGAGATGATTTGTGCGACGGCTCGTATGGCGCCTATTAGTGGATATTTTGAGTTTGATGATCAGCCTGATCATAAGATTGTGTATGTGAATATGCCTGATATGGCTATGATGAAAAGCAGACCTAGGTTTATGTTGGTTAGTGGGAGTGGCATCGGTATTGGGGCTCAGGTGGTTAGTGCTAGGGTGAGTGCCAAGATTGGTGATAGGGTGAATAGGATTGGGGATGAAAGTGTTGGTTTTGTTGGTTCTTTTAGGATGAGTTTAATACCGTCTGCGATTGGTTGTAGTAGGCCCATTGGGCCTACTAGGTTTGGGCCTTTTCGTAGTTGTATGTATCCTAGTAGTTTTCGTTCCAGGAGGGTTAAGAAGGCTACTGCGATTAGGATAGAGATGATGTAGAGTAGTGGGTTGATAATGTTGAGTAGGATGTTGAGTATTATTAAGGTGGGTGATGGGTTGTGTGTCCTTAATTGGCCTTTTCTTGGCTTGGGTTTGTAATGGGTTTAATATTGAGTGTATTTATATTTTTTGTCGAAGCGTGCTTTTGGTATTGGCTTTGCTTTCTCGGTCCTTTCGTACTAGAGAGAGCGTTATTATAGATAGAAACTGACCTGGATTGCTCCGGTCTGAACTCAGATCACGTAGGACTGTTAATCGTTGAACAAACGAACCTTTAATAGCGGCTGCACCATTTGGGTGTCCTGATCCAACATCGAGGTCGTAAACCTTCTTTTTGATATGGGCTCTTAAAGAAGATGGCGCTGTTATCCCTGGAGTAACTTGGTTCAATTATCAGTGTTACTGGGTCTTGTGGTGGCTTGTTGGCCTGTAATATGAGGGATGGCTCATGTTGTTTGGAAGTTCTGTTTTGTTCCAAAGTCGCCCCAACTGAAAGTAGCTATTAGTGGGTTTAATAGTTTAGTTTAAGCTTCACAGGGTCTTCTGGTCTTATATGTATATCTCAGCTTTTGTACTGGGAGATCAGTTTAATTGATTGATTACAAGAGACAGTTTGACTCTCATGTGGCCTTTCATACGGGTCTACAATTAATAGACAAGTGATTACGCTACCTTTGCACGGTTAGGGTACCGCGGCCGTTGAAGAAATTCTCACTGGGCAGGCGTTGCCTTTAATACTAGTTTGGCTAAAGGTTATGTTTTTGGTAAACAGTTGGAGTCATTGGTTGCCGAGTTCCTTTTGTAATGTTTTATCTTTCTTTGTTGCGCTCCTGTGTTGGGGTTACAGTTTATGTGGGAGTTGTGTAGGGTGTTGTGCCGTTCCTTTTTTGGTCTGTTGATTGCAAGCAGATTTTCTGTTTCTTGCATACAGTTGCGCTTAGAGAATTTTTCTTATTATTAGTTTTAGCATAAGTTTATCTATGGTTATAGATTTACCCTTAATGTGTTTGGAATATTTAATTTTTTTTGGGATTTTTGTCTGTAATTCTTTAACGATATTTTTTTAGGTGGCTGCTTTAAGGCCTACTTGTAGGTTTAAGGTTGTTTTATTCTCAAGGTCAGGTTGTATCCTGTTTCAATAGAGCTGTACCCCTATTGAATGTCTTTAGATGTACTAGGTTGTGGTGTGTTGGTCTAAAGGTGAACTTAAATTCTTTTTTGGGTAGCCAGCTATCTCCAGATTCGGTAGGCATTTCACCTCTACTTTTAAGTCTTTCCACTCTTTTGCTACAGAGAAGGATTGGCCCTAAAGGCTGCTTTAAAGTAGCTCATCTGGTTTCGGGTTGTTTGGGCTTTAGTGGTGCGTTTTGTCCTGTGGTCCTTGCTAAACCATGATGCAAAAGGTACAAGGTTTAATCTTTGCTGTTTTTTGCTTAAGTATGTGTTCCCTTGCGGTACTGGGTTGTGCTGTGGTAATGTTCGATCGCATCTACTTGGTGGGTCAAATGGTTTGTTTTATTTGTTGTGGATTTTTGGGTATTGTTTAGACTACAACTTAGGCTCAAAAAGATTATTTTATAATGTCGTTCGGTTGTAAGCCGAATGCTTTGGTTGTAAGCTACTTTTTGTTTCTAAGCGCACTTTCCAGTACGCTTACCATGTTACGACTTGCCCTGTTTTGTTGTTGTAAGTATTTTATATGTTGATTTGCTTTTTGGTGACAGGGATGACGGGCGGTGTGTACGCACTTCATTGCAATGGTTTCAGTTGAGTATTGTGTTCTCATCTTACTGCTAAATCCACCTTCAAAAGAAAGTTTCATGTCTTTATTCGTATGGTCTGTATTAGAAAATGTAGCCCATCATAGTCCACTTCATTAGTTACACCTCGACCTGTCGTGTTAGTGTATGACTATTTGGTTCACTTTGTTTCTTTTGCAAGGTGAGCTGGCGACGGCGGTATATAGACTGGGTGGCTAGAAGTGGTTGGATTAATCGTGGGTTATCGGTTATTAGACAGGCTCCTCTAGGTTGGGTGAAGTACCGTCAAGTCCTTTAAGTTTTAAGTTTTCACTCGTAGTGGTTTGGCGAGCAACTATAGTGTTGCCGTGTTATGGTTAGGCATAGTAGGGTATCTAATCCTAGTTTGTATCCTAGCTTTCACGGGTTGAAAAGGTTGTTTTCTTAAGGGGTTGGTTTTAGTTTAACTTAGGGCGTTCTACAGCCTGGTTTTGCTTTGTCCTTAAGGGGTAGTACTTTGTTCTAGCCGTGCTTTACGCCGTTTGACATTATCTTGAGTCTGTCGTGTAACCGCGGTCGCTGGCACGAGATTAACCGGCTCTATATGATCTTTACTGGGTCAAGTTTGCACTTATGGCCCAATATTAGTTACTGCTGTAGGCCCGTGGGGGTGTGGCAAGTGCTTGGCGTTGTGGGTAAGTGGTTTGTTTTAGCCTGATGCCTGCTCCTGTCTGTGGGTTGATGTGGGCTTTCTCACCGTTGTGTGGAGGCTTGCATGTATAGGTAAGATCACAGGTAATGTTAGGTTCAGGACCAAGACTTTGTGCTATTTGGGTATATAACCGTCTCAGCATTTTCAGTGCTGTGCTTTGGGTGTAAGCTACAATAGC